ATTTTATGTTCCAGGATGTCCTCTTGCAGAGGCCAGCTTCCCACAGGACAAGCAAGGCCATAGGAAGTACTCCAGGCTCCTTCTCTAACCCTGAGTTCATTTCAACTCTCGGATCCATGTCATTACCTCCTCGGCTGTCCCAGTACTTGGGGGAAGTTAGTAAGAGTAATCCACACCTACTGATAGCTTGGCACCTGCCAGTCACTGTGACCCTTATCATCTCCATTTTATAGCGAGTAAACCGAGGCACAGAGATGTTAAGTAACCTGCACAAGGTTACTTGGGCGCTAAGTGAGAGAGTCAGACTTTGCATCCAGGCCTACCTGACACCAAGGCCATGCTCCTTACTCTACTACTCTACACTGTTTCCAGTGTGTGGAATGATAAGGTTGGATTGAAGAGTCCTTATGGTTTCTTTTAGTTGTGAGCTTCTATGGTTGGACACTTACACTTGAAAGGTGGGGGGTGGGGGGAAATAGAAATAACAAGAAAATTATGTCAGGATTCCAAGAAGTCTGGACAGCAGGCCCCTTCTTTGCTCTTACCTGCCCCTTCCCCCTTCCAAAGAAGCCTTAGCCCTTGTCTTGGACTTGCACACGTGGATGTGTGTGTGTTTGAGGGTGGGCAGGTAGGGGAGCCAGATGTAGTGAGGAAGGCTGCTCCACCTCCAATAAGGCCAGTCTGGAATGAGTCTGAGGGGAAAGAAATGACAGGGTCCAGCCCCAACCTGTGGATGTACCTTGTGGGTCAGGACCAGGGAGCTGTGGCCTCCCTTTCTAATAATTTGGGGAGTGTCAATGCAAAAACCTAAGAATCGTGAAGGGAGAAAAGAACATTTTCGAAACAAGAGTGAAGATAAGGCAGAAATTTTTGCTCCTGCTGATTCACACTGGGCTTAGGAGGACTGAATTTTGCTGCCAGGAAGCAGAGAAAAGAGCCGAGGAGCTGAGTTTTCACCCCTTGTACCCTTCTCATTTCCTTTTGTCTCCTGGGTTTCCTGAGCTGTGCCTGCTTTAGCTCATAGAGCTGACTGCCTTTCTGAGTTGGGTGTTCTGGGTGTAGACTCTGCATGGAGGAGTCAGGCCAGGTAAAGCTCTGAGGCCCTTCTCCCTGACCCAGGCAGCACAGACCCCTCCTATATTTCTCTGCCACCATGCCCTGTAGTTGCCTCCACTACTAAACCCACAATCTGACATTGTTGTCATCTGTATGCACACCTTGCCTCCCCCAGTCAGCTGGGAGCCCCCTGAAGTAGGATGTTATTTTATTATCCTTTGTGTACCTGGTCCATGGAAGAAGGTGTCAGCTATGCAACTTTCTCTTTTCTATGTTGGGGTGGGCATAACACAGTGCATGATGAGCGTGTACCAGGGCTGGAGGAAGTAACCTGAAGGAGGCTGGTCTGAGCACAGGCAGGTATGCAGAAGGATAGGGAAGCAACTCAGGGAGGCAGGCCAGCATTTTCACAATTTCTTCTTATAATGTGAGATATATGTGCAAATGCACACATGCACATACACATATACACATGAGCAAGATGGCAGGGGGGAGGTGGGCAAAAGCCATTTCTTTCTTTAATCCATAAGCCATTAGGTAGGGTTAGGTATGGGTTCTGACTTCTTTGTTTTGGAACGTGAAGCCAATGACCTCAAGCCATTTGTTGAATAACTGATTTTTCCACCATGGATTTGAAATCACTGTCCTCTCTCATCTCAAAATTTCAGAATCTAAAGGATCAAAGATAACCATAGCAAAATTTCTGATGTACCTCCTTAAGTAACAAATGGAGATACCAGTATCTTTCCTATCAACATATAGGATTGACATCAAGATGATAGAAGAAAATAGGGATGACTGTCTTGGGAAAAGCTAAGAGCCTCTGCTATTATATTGACAAAACAACAAGAATAAGAAAAATAAGCATCATTCTATTTCTCAAGTTCATTTGAAAAGTCATTACAATCCTTTCTGCAGAGCCGAGTCAGGCCTCCATGGCTCTTGGAGTATTTAAAATGTCCTCTGTCACAGGGTATCGGAAGAAGAAGGACTTTAACCATTATGTAATCCATACCTCTCATTTTACAGATGGGCAAACTGAGGCCCAGAGGAGAAAGTGATTTTCCAAGGCACATGAAATAGTTAATGGCAAAGGTGGAATCCACTGGGAAAAGTCCTAAACTCATAGTCACATCTGAGACATAAATGTCAACAGTCTGCATGTTATAGGAAGTTTGAGTTTGGGTTTTAGTACAAGGGAAGAGCCCTTGTCAGGGAGGAAGTGAGAGAATGGGCATCTATGGATGATGGAGTGTCAGTCTGGGCGCTGTTTGGTTCTGTGGATTTCAAGAAGACTCAAATGCCACTGACCACTGTAAGCTCCCTGAGGGCAAATAGCCTGAGTCCAATATTCCCTCGAGTTCAGATGCATAGCAGGGTCTAAAAAATGATCATTAAATTGAATCTAAATGACTTTTTCCAGTAAGGACTCTCTGGGGAATCAGAGGAAGGTTGTGGGAGAGGAAATACCTCCCCCTTTCCACCCCTGCTTCAGAATATTCCCGAATTTCTATATTCACCTGCAAATGAAAGAAAATCTGACTAATCATGGCTTGAAAAAGGAAGGATATTATGTTTTTTGGTCTCACTTAAGCCTGAGGCTCATGTCATGTACAACACTCAGGTCCTCTAGAGCCTGCTTTTTCTTGCCTTCCTGCTCTCCTCTCTATGGTTGCAAGATTCCAGGGAGAAGGGATGTGGGTAAAGTCCAAAGTCATGTCAACCCAAGAGATCCTAACAATCTTTCCAGAAAGCTCCCTCTGTGAGTTTCACTACTTTAGATGCAGAGGAGTCCAGTGTGTGTGTGTGTGTGCGCACATGCGTGAGCATGAGCACTGTGTAAATACATTTTGCAGGTCCCATCTAAGGGCACACGAACTCATAAGGAATCTTCTTCCAGCTACCCCTGTGCTCAGAAAAATGGCAGCCTTCCTGGCGTCATTGTTCTGCACCTGGCCGAAGTTCTACAGTTCAGACCCAAGAGGGCTCCATTGGAGCCACAAATGGAAGGCTAAGGAATGGGGGCTTGCTGGACTCAGGGTTTAACTAGCTTGCTTGGCAACAAGGTCCACTCAGGAGGGAACAGGCAGAGAAGGTGGGATGGTGCCCACCTGGGACAGACAAATGATAGCCTGATGGAGAATCCCCTTGGGCCTTGGCTTCTACTCACCCATTAGTTGTTATTATTTTAGGGCTGATAACGGGTGTTTCATTTCTTCTTGCTTGGGACATCTAGTATGTACAATGGTTTCCCCAGCTTGAAATTTCTAGTATTCCCTTGAATAACCTTCCTTAGCATCCTGGACAGAAGCTTCCTCAGCTGCTATGCTGCAACAGGCCTGGTCAACAGCACAGAGGCAGACAGTACAACCCCAAGTGTGGCTAGGTGGGGGCTTTGGGGCACAGGCTTCTGTGGCTCCGTCCGCCTCTGGGCTTCTCTGACTTTGGCCTTGTGGCCGCATTGCTTCAGAATATGGGCCAGGTGGATCAGAAGTTTCAAAGAGCCCAAGTAGGGGCCACCCCTAGGGCAAATCAAGCAAGAGTTATGCAAACTGGATTGGGCGCCTGTCCTAGGATCGTGGCCGGCAGACATTGCAAACCACAGCGGAAGGGCTGATCTTTGGACAGCCAACGTGGAATTCCCCTTTATGCAACTGGGGTGCCAAATCAAGCAATTTGGATTTTCCTTAGGGGACAGACACTGTGATCTGTGACTTCTCACATGAGAAATTTGGCGTATAGGGGCCAGGACAGACCAGGTGTTGGAGCCTTTGCCACCCAGAGGACACAGCTGTTTCTGCTCTGCCTGCGTGACTACCTAGAATAACTAGTGTAGTTAATAGAGTACTAGCGTAGTTATTATCAGTACTAGTGTGGAATAGCTGTGCAGTTGCACAGGGTCCCATACTTAGAAGGGCTCTTGCTCAGCTGTTCCTGCCTTGAGTTTCTTAGTAATTGTTGAACAAATGGCCCCACATTTTCATTTTGCACTGGCCCCCAATTTATGTAGTTGGTTCTGTAGAGGAGGCTGAAGTCATCTCCATTCTCTGGGTCTCACCTTCACCTAGTGTTCCCTAATGCAGTAAATGATGTGACCATCTAACCCAACATACAAGCCAGAAACCTAAAAGTAACTTGCTGGTTCCCCCCTCTCCCTTGCCAACCGTGACCAATCTATTACCAGGTGCTCCCGATTTTTCTCTCTTCTTCTTCTTCTTCTTTTTTTTTTTTTTTTGAGATTGTATTTATTTGAGAGAGTGAGTGAGAGAGAGCACAAGCAGGGGGAGGATCAGAGGGAGAGGGAGAAACAGAGGAAGGGGGAGAAGCAGACTCTCCCTGAGCAGGGGTCCCAACACGGGGCTCGATCCCGGCCTCAATCCTGGGACTTTAGGATCATGACCTGAGCCAAAAGCAGATGCTTAACCGACTGAGCCATCCAGGCGCCCCCTAATTGATATTCTAATATCCACTTTCCAAACTGTTCCCCACTTTGTAGGTAGCATGATTATTTGCAAACAACAATCTGATCATGACTCTTCTGTTTAAACCCTTCAGTGGCTTCCCACTTTCTCTTTCTTGGTAAAGCAAAGGTCCATATTCTTCACACTGTCTGTGACTCCTTTTTCATCTGACCCTTCTTCTGCCTCCACTTTCAGCATTCCTCACTTCCCTCTGCCCCTCCAGCCTCATTGGCTTTCCTCTTTTTGTTTTCAGATAATCCAGGCTTTCTCTCTTACTACAGGGCCTTTGCACATGCAGTTCCCCCTTTCTGGATTGTTCTTCCCCTTCTCTTCATCCTTCAGTTCTCAGCTCTGAGGTTACTTCCACAAATTCCTTCCTCCTTATTCCCGGTTAGATCTTCTGGGTATATTCTTCTCAAAACACCTTGCTCCTTTCCTTTATAGTACTTATGCCGGTTTATAATTATACTTGTGGCTTTGCAGCCATTTGATTGAGCTCCAGCCTTTTGCCATTAGACAGTCCTCCACAGGGCAGGGCCCTCTCTGTTTTTGATCATCATTGTTTGCCTAGTACTTAGCACGATTCTGGGCACGTCCAAAGTCCTTGTTAAGTATTTGTTGATTGAGTGATTGAGTATGTGCTTCCTAAACTTTTTGTAGCTATAACTGGCTTCATTTGTCTTCCATCCCATAGAAAGTAGAGGATGAATTCACTTAGGGGAAGAGCTACCCTCACAAACTATATGCCTGTTCGCATTTAGCTTTTCCATTTATTAGAAATCAATCTCACTACCAATCAACACTCTTCCAGGCAAGTGTGAACCAAATCCCCCATGGCTCTTGGAGTATTTAAAATGTCCTCTGTCACAGGGTATCAGAAGAAGAAAGACTTTAACCATTATGTAATCCATACCTCTCATTTTACAGATGGGCAAACTGAGGCCCAGAGGAGAAAGTGATTTTCCAAGGCACATGAAATAGTTAATGGCAAAGGTGGAATCTGAAGTCAATTCTCTCTGTTATTCTTCTCAAATCAGCACCTAATTCCTTGACTCAGGTGAGTATTAAATCACTCTGAATTCTCATGGCCAACACCAACAACTAGAGGGCGCTAAGATGTGAGCAGTGTGTGGCGTTATAATGGTGAGAAGTTGAAAGTTGTGGAAATAAGTTTCCATTTATAAAACGATTGTGAATCTATTATGTGCTTGTGAGGTGTGTAGCTCTGTGCTTGGGAAGTAGAGATGGGGGTAAGGGTTGCTTAGATATTTTTGTCCTAGGGAAATACTTGAAGCTTTAGAATCTTTGCCAACAGAAGAGGGTTTCTACTGTATTTTATCTCTGAGACATGACTGCAGTCGTGTTAAAAGGCATAGTTTGGCATGTCCTCCCACCAAGGAGCCCCTCAAGCACCATCTCTCTCCAGAAACCTTATTCAAGAGAGCAGACAATTGAGTGTTTCCTGCCTATTCTGATTTTGCCTATTCTGATTTTTATCTCCAAAACATGCCCCCCAACTCTGAATCCTCAACCACACTCCACATATTTTGATGTATGCTTTAGATGCACATCTGTATCACATGTGTGAAGAGCCAAATGTTTCCTCCATCCTGGTTTCATGCCACTTCTGCTGTGACTGTGTCATTTACATGAAGCCTTATGTCATGAACCCTTTCGGGAAGGGAGCAGGACGGTGCCACCGTGTCCAGTGTGATCTGGATTCCGTAAGTCAGCTGTCCTCAAGCTGCTCGGATGCAGGACCCCTCTGCATTCTTCAAAATTGTTGATGATCCCAAAGAGCTTTTATTTAGGTGGATTCTATCTATCAATCTTTATTGTATTAGTAACCAAAACTGAGATATTAAAAAAGTCTATGTATGACTTTTAAAGTAATAATAAAAATTACATGTTAACATCAATAACATGTTTTTGTGAGAAATAACTCTATTTTCCAAATCAGAACACATTTGGTGAGCAGAGTGGCCTTGTTTGACATTTGTTCCAAATCTTTTCAAATACCTGGTTTAATAGAAGAGTTTGTATTCTTACATCTGTTTCTACATTGAATCTGTTGCAATCTATTGTTTAGTTTGAAGTGTATGAAGAAAATCCAGCCTCACATAGATATATAGTTGGAAAGAGGAGGACCCCTCAGGGGTTCTTGGGGCACCCTTTGAGAACCACTGGCTTGAGTGTTTAACAAACATCTCTGGGTGAGGATGAATGAATGGGAGGAGGGTGGTCAAAGTTTGGCCTCAGAGGAAGGCGTGAGGGGGATACCAACAGGACAACTGATCTGGAGGGAGAAGGGAGACACCCACTGCTTCACGCTTGTCTTCCTAATTCAGAGTTTCCAAATAGCCAGTGTGTGGTCCTTCAGCACAGCCGCTGCTGTGAGCATCAACGTATGTCATGGAAGCTGAAGGGCCTCACACGCGGTGTTTGTGGTTTCAAGTCAGAACGCATGGGAGTTTTGGGGCTGATTTGCAGTGCCCTACTGATTACTGTAAATCCCCTTCCAAGGGGCCTCGGGCTTAGGACCAGGTCGTAGGGGCTGGGTGCGGTCAGGGGGCACAGGGCTAGTAGAGGGACTCCACTGCAGGCTTATGTGGGGTTCTACTTTCCATTTCCACTTTTAGTTCTTTTCTCTCTTTCTTGCTCTTTCTGCTTTCTCTTTGGTTAGCTTGTGCTTTCTCAGTTTTCAGAACAAACTGAAAATAACATCAGATGTTTTCCAGTCTGGTGGCCAGGATTTATCTAATCAAAACAACACAAGTCGCTTTCCACTCCCTTCTCACTCCCTGCAAAGTTGAGCGGCACACACGGTCAGTGGGCTTTTACTGATCTGCCTACTTTAGCAATCACTTTGGTAAGGGGAGCACCTTTTTAGCAACTGGGTCAGACATGGTGGGTTCAAATTAAAGTTTGATCCCTAGCCGTGCTGACTGGGAGACTCTATAGAATGAGCAGAAGCAGAATTTCTTTTTTTATGGAGCCAGACTAAGAACTCCCAAGGCCCTAAGATGCTTCAACATCCAAAAATAGTTCTAAATAACATATCACTAAACTATAAAATGTATTTAAGGGAGTCCCACAAGGCCCCAATACTTTTGATGTATCAGTGCTGTTGCAAGTATATCCATACTTGTAAAAAAAATATTGTTCTTTCAAAAAATTAAAGAGAATCTGTTTGTGCCTTGGCTTTGTGGTGATCTCGGACTGTTCCGAGGAGTAAGATCAAGAGTTTCAAGCAAGAGATTGGATATAAATTGGGATCAAGTCGTTGACTGATAGGTTTCAAGATTCCCCGATGGGCTGGGGATTGCGCACTCATGCCTGTCTTACATGGTATATGCTCTCATCTACCTCCTCTGACAGCAAAGGCTTTGCTTTGGCAGCAGAACTCCCCACCTTACCATGCCCCACACCCATGGGTCCAAGTGGTCGGTTACTGGAAACCACACGACGCGCCCTGCCTTTGGGCTGGTCTTTGCAGGAGAGTGTGGTTGGTTAAGTGTGTGGGTCCTAGAGTCAGACTAAATTTGCCACCCAGCTCTGCCCCTACTGTCGGTGTGACCTCGGGCAGGCTGCTACACTTTCTTGTGCTGCAGTATCTACAGCTGGTGATGGAAGCCTGCACTGCAGGGGTGTCGTGAGCCTTGAACAGAATGGTGTATGTGCATAAATGCTTCCGGAGTGCCTGGCACCTAACAAGCAGCCAATGCATCTGAGTTGTGGCTATTGATGCTTTTCCATGGGCATGTTCGGCTGCTAGAGCCAGGTGGACCCGACGCCTCCGAACAGGACAGGTTCTCCATCCCAGTATTCTGAGGACGGTGAAGAAATGTCAGTCCCAGTAGAAAAAGCTCTGGCTCCGGTGTCCAGGAGAACCGCTTCCAGCCCTGGCCCTCCCCCATGAGATCCCGGACCCATTCCTTTCCATCCCTTGCATCGATAAGTGGGGGGCTTGACAGAGTTGTTTCCCAAAGGTGCTTTCCAAACCTAATATCCTAGAATTTTGTGGTACTCTTCTCTCCCCTCTGTGTCCTTCCTGGTAGGAGCTAGTTGGCAACATGAGCTTCTAATGCCTATCTGCCAAATCCACTAGGTCAGCTCGATGCCAGGCCCCTTCTTCTGGCTCATAGCCTCTACCCAGCCCTGGAAGCACCGTTCTGTAAGAGAAACAAAACCTTTTCCTCGGGCAGCTTTTGCGTGTGTTCACCTGTATTTCCTTCTCGCAATCCTGGCCCCCAGCGTTCTTGAGGTTGCAGTTTCATTGTGAGTCAGGTCTGCTGAGAGCAGTGGAAAGCAGAGGGGCCTCTGCTTGGTGGGGAGGACGTGATGCTGCCTTTTCCTCAAGAGCGCTGCCTGGGGGGCGGGGGGTGGTGGCGGGGGCGTGGGAGGGAGGTGATCACCTTCAGGAAGTGGATTTTCACATTGACTGTCTCTGGGAGGAAAGAATATTACTGGAAAGCCCTCGAGATCACTTGACATCTCTTTCAGGAGGGCCTTCAGGTTCTCAAGAAATTATTTGTACCTTGCAGTAGAATGTCTGTGTCATTCTGGTATCTGTTGCGAGGCAGGCCAGTGCTGGGGAGGAAGTGCTCTTAGTGTCGTTGGCTTGTGCCATGAGTCTCAGGTAACAGATCTCCGCGGTGGAGGTGACCGTGTGGTGCCGGATGTCCATGGCAGAGCACAGTGAAGCCTGTTGGAGACCTGCTTCTGTCCCGGGGGTAGGGGGTGGGGAGGTGGGGGCCAGCTGCCATAGGCTTTGAAGCAAGGAGTGGAGTCCTTCAGCCCCTCAGTGGTATCCCACGGGGAAAAGGAGAAAAGGCAAGGAGTGGATCAGATTTAGAGAAGCAGGGAAGAAGCTATTAAAAAAAAAAAAAAGGCAAGAACCCCTTAGGTATGCTGACCCCAGAGGCTGAGTTCTGTGTAGGGCTGGGGGGTGATCTGGGACAGGGAAGAAGGTGAATAGGTCATCTGGGAGCTCTTGGTCAAGCAGGCCAGAAGGCAGGGGTTTCAATAGAGGGGTTTACATCTGGGGTGTCAAGTGAGGGTCCCCTTGGGGGGGGAAGTGGACAGATACCCCCAGAGAGAGGTCCCAGGGAGAAGGAGTACAGTGTGATAGAAGGTGACCTGAGATCATTTTGTCCATTTTGAATGTTGCCTAAGGCTGGTTAAATGTAAGAGAATGAAATCCTCCTTAGATGGCCAACAGGCACAAGAAAAGGTGCTCCACATCACTCATCATAAAGGAAATGCAAATCAGAATCACCATGAACTGACACCTCACACCTGTCAGAATAGCTAGTATCAGAAAGACAAGAGATAACAGGTGTTGGCGAGGATGTGGAGAAAAAGAACCACCCTGCACTGTTGGTGGGAATGCAGACTGGTGCAGCCACTCTGGAGAACAGTATGGAGGTTCCTCAAAAAACTAAAAATAGGACTAGCATTTGATCCAGCAGTTCTGTTTCTGGGTGTTAATCAGAAGAAAACAGAACCAACTTGAAAAGATTTCTGCACTCCAAGGTTCACTGCGGCATTAAATAGCCAAGATACGGAAACAACCCAAGTGTCCAGTGTCCATCAATGAATGGATGAAGAAAATGTGGTATATATATTATTTGGGCTTTAAAAAATGAAATCTCACCATTTGTGACACCGTGGATGGACTTTGAGGACATTATCCTAAGTGAAATAAGTCAGAGAGAGGAAGACAAATACCTTACAGTCTCACTTATACGTGGAATAAAAACAAAAACAAAACCCCCCAAGCCCAAGCTTGTAGATACAAAGAATAGACTGGTGGTTACCAATGATGGGGGAGTGGGGAGGCAGGTGAAATGGGTAAGGCGGTCAAAATGTACAAACTTCAAATTATAAAATAAATAAGTCATATATACACATAATGCACAGCATGGGGCATACGGTCAATAATATTGTATTAACCTTTATGGTTACACATGGTAATTGGATTTATTGTGGTGACCATTTCTCAGTGTATACAAATGTTGATTTCCTATGTGGTAAACATGAAACTAATCTACTATT